TGGGTGCCGCCGCTCCCCTCAGGGCGCCTCAGGCGGGAGTCCGGCGGCGGAGCGGGCAGCGCTCCTCAGCTGCCCGCTGCGCTCAGCGGACAAAAAGCGGCTAAAAGGCGGCTAGGAGTCCCACCGAGCAGGAGCGCCAGGAAGGGGGCTGAGTGGGAGACTCCTCTCCAGCGGCCGGTCGTGGAGGAGGGTGGCTGCCTCCCTGCCGGCCACGGCGCCTCACGTCCTGTCAGTGGGAACGGAGTCGTCAGGCTCCCCCCCGAACAGGGCCAAAACGCGCCACAAGCGTGATCCAGAGCCCGTAGCAATCTACTGGGGACTGATATCCAGACCAGATGAGGACCAGGACTGTCCATCCTGGAAAGCCCTGTAAAGAGGTGAGCCATCCTCACGGGGACAGTACCCAGCGTGGCAAGAAACAGACTGGGGTCCCAGGCAGAAATAAGTGTCCGATGCCTAGGGACTACAGAAGTCAAAGAAAAAAAAGGCAGAGAGAGGGGCTGTGAGCTGGTACTCTCACAGAGCTATGATAGAACATTTTGCGCTGTTGGTCACAGAAACCAAAGCGGCTGAAAAGGCAATAAAGGATGGCTAGAAAGAATTACAAGCCCACGTAAGGTCATAAAGGGGACTGGAGACTTCTCAAAAAGAAGTGAAGGAGAGATGAAATGCAGCCTGCTGAAAACAAAGCTTACGTTGACTCAAAAATTGCAGTCAGACAGATTTTGAGCTGTGCCTTATTGGAGTTGGCAAACAGGATCAAACAGGTACCCAACAATTTTCTTAAACATGTTTTACAGGAAGTTTCCGGGAAGGTTGGGACAATTTCTAGTGTAATTTAACAATATCTGACTTTTTAGAATTGGAGGCGATCTGCAGTGAGGAATAAAAAAATTGGAAATTTGGCTTAAAAAGACCTCTAAGCTGCAAATCACTGTTGAAGCCAACTGCTTGGCTGAAGAATTTAGTCAGCTAGAAAGACGAGAGAGAGAGGGAATATCCCATTTGAGACACTTTTATATGCCATTTGCTCCCCAGAGAGACTGGGTAGGGGAAATCATACCATCCTCATTCAAGTAATAAATACAGACTATGGTAAACATTTATGCAAAAAGTCCTGGAAGATTTATTCGCAGTTATAGTAAGTCAAAGAAATGTTTGGGTAGATGAGAAGGAGTGTTTCTAGTACTAATTTGAGTACTTGAGATGAGGTACTTCCACCACAGGCTTCCACCCACACCCTCTGCTGCAGGATCCTGTAAGCTCAGGCCTCAGCATTCAGTCATGGCTTGAGCTGTTATGTAGGTATACCTGTACCCAGTCCTGGTCCTGAATTACTGTTTGGATTTCCTGGATTGACCTTGGACCTGTTACCTTGTTTTTGTCTGATGGCCACTGGACTGTCATGAGGATCTGTTGCTGTCAGCGCGCCTGCTCTGCTTGCCCAGATCATGTCTGTGGGGCTGTGCCTGGTCACTGAGGTCATTGCCCAGTCCACATTGTGGTCACCCTCAGCTCCTGGCTAGCCACCTGTAGGGTGGGGGCAGCCTTTGCTGCTCCCTGACATGCATTGTATAAACGTGATCTATATCAGGGTTCCCTGTCTCATAAAGAAATACCCGTATCAATGTAAAGTAGCTTTTTAACCAAAATTACTGTGTTCACACCAGGGATATTCTTCCCCTTTAAATAAACCAGTACACTAAAGGTTATATTTTTAACCATCAAATGAAGGTAAGTTTATAGAAATATTGTTAAAACTGGTTACAAAAGCAAAAAAAAAACCCCAGTCAGTAATGAGGAAAAAAATAAGGAAGCTGGTGCAGTGTAACATAACAATATGGAAGACAAAACATTTTAAGACTGGCTAACAGAGTTTCTTAAATTTCATCACCGTTTTTGGAAAATGGATTGACATTGAACTTAAGAGGTAGAGCTAGAGACTCACAGTTTTAGTTTTGCTCTGTTCTGTTTAGTATCCTTTTTAAAGATTTGGTAAACCTATTAACATGAACAGATCTAGTAAATATTTAATGGTGACAGTGTAGTATGCAAGAATAGTAGACTAGTTTACATTTGATAGTTTTTAGACTGGACATATTAAGGAATAAAATGCTAGGTGATCCAAATGAGCCATTTAATTCCTCTCATAGAGTAAATGAATGATTAGGAAGTATGCATTCACCGTGTTTCAACATGGAGAAAACAAGGTGTAAAGATTGGATTTCAAGAACCAGACTGAGAGGACTGGATAGCTGAGTTGGTGGAAGAGCTGACAGTAGCTGATAACTAACAAATGCCAAGAAAAATGGCTTGCAAAATTAGTGTTTGGTAATTACCTTTAAATATATCTCAGTGAAACATCTATTTTGTAGGTGACTGATTTGTAATGAGCATATTTTCCTACCCCTAGGGGAAGAAATTATAATAGCAACCCCATGTTGGTACCTGTTCATCAACAGTTTCTCAACCTGGATAATGTGCAGGTGCATGCTAAAACTTTTGAGCAGGAAATATTACCATTACATAGGTTATGTGATAAGCATAAGATGATCAGTCTGAAAAACAATATGTTAGTGTATTTCAAGAAGAGGATGACCTATCTCAAGCTCACAGTTAATAGAGAGGAGTTTAATTAATAAAAATAAATGGGAATGCGTATGGAAAATTGTAAGGTTCTGTCCTTGCTACAGAAGACATGCTAATGGGTCTGGCAACGTGAACACTGCAAATTCAGTCTGTGGAAACTCTAGTTTAAAAGACTGCCTAATAAAACAAGTGTGAGCTTGTAAATCTGGTAATGCTAAGACAGAGGAAACCAGAATGGTGAGGAGAGGATGAGTGACTAGAATTTCTTCTAGTTAAAGGGTAAAACAGACACTTAATATGGAATTATTATGGTACACTCTAACTTTATTTTGTATATATGAAGCAAGCAAAGTCAGGAATATTCCAGAATCCAGTGCATGGATACAGAACATGGCTTGTACCCTCGAAACGGCGATAATAAAATAGGAGAATTCATTCAAAATTTCAACTAACTAGAGAATGAATATTTAAATATTTGTTCAAATTATGAAAACTGTATTTTCTGTGTGAAAGTGCTAAAAGACAATGGGAAAACAAAAATGTTAAACATGATGTAGATGTTCCTGTTCAAGTGCAGGAAGTTTTTCTCTCTATCTGCCTAACGTTAATTTGTGTTCCAAGCTGTAGAACTTCCCCAGACACACACACTTTACCTGGTATATTTCTGTGAACAAGCTGCTCATTAGGTAACCCAAATTACATTTTCTGCAGTTCTGTGGATGGTACTAACGTTTGCAGCTGGCCCAATGGTTTGGTGGTAATTGTGTAACAGTTGCAGGACAGCAGAGACAGTGAAGCCCCTAAGGAAGAGAAGGGTTTAACCGCACAAGGGCTACGGCAATGCCTGCTGGCCTGTCCATAGAGCAACGTTTTTGAATGTCTCAGAATAGATGAGCTGATTAACTGTGAATCACCCTCCCAGAAGAGATGAAGCATTAATAGCAAACAAAAGGGAAGCAGAAGGGAAACTTCAGGCAGAAGAAAATAATCCAGGAATTAAAAGATTGGTGAAAGCCTTAGGATGCTTCCAGATTGCCCAGAAAGTCTTAGTTCAATACCATAGAAATAGAGGTCTTATACTGTGCACTCTAGGATGAATTTGGGTAAATGTGGCTGAACCTGTATTTTAATATGTAATGCACCCACAGCAACGAATGTACATGAAAACGTAGTTAACTGTTTCTTCTCAGTCAGTGACAACCCTTCTGAAGCATGCTGTAATCTGAATTGACTTGGGAAATTCTCTCTGCTACATCTCAGCCAATGGGAATGGCAAGGAAAAAATGCTGACTTTATAGATCTATAGTTAAGCTTCATCTAAAAGGTTATGCCTTGAAAGAGAATGTACTGCTACCTGAATAATATTGATTATAATGTTCATATGTGTTTTTCCAAATTTCTCAGTGGGTGAAGATTAGAAAAATCTCTACCAATGTTTATAAACTGATAGAAAGCTTATTAAAGGTATTTTTTAGGTGTTAAGCACAAGTTATTTTATCAACCTCAAGCTTGTAATTCGTGTCGTTATCAAACAATATGCCTCATGAGTTATGGATCAGGTCATTGGCCCATCTCACGTGCAAACAGCCTCCAGAAGTGTTCACATATGTTGCTTTAGAAAAAAGCCTGCTCTTAATGCTCCCAAACTGTGATTCATCAGGCATTGTTAGGATAGCTGGTTAGCCTTCAGAGACATTAGTTTATGCCCTGAAACAAGAGAGATGTTTAAATCGGCATATGTACCTACTTGTATGGATGGAAATGGTTTACATCTATTTGTTTTCCATTACAAGTTAAGAAACAACAATCTGTAATCGCACAGAGTGCAACTAATCTTTGGAAAATACAGAAGAAAAATATAAAAACTGACCAAAAAAAAAGGAAAAAAACCCCAACAGTCATAAGAACATAACCAATGAGATAAATCAAAAGCATTCTGTCTCCAAAACTGGGCACTGACATGTTTAAGGAAGAGTGTAAGAACATGGAAGCATGTAGAATCCTCTCCCAGCCTCCAAAAAATTAATGTATTTTCTCAGCCACAGGTGCTGCTTCTATATAATAGGGGTTTTTCTTCCATTAATTTGTTCAGTTGCTTTTAAATCCACGTATAATTTAGAATCCATTACCTTCTATAGCATGGAGTTTCCATAGCTTAATCACATGCCACATGAAAAAAAAACCTCCTTTTGTTTGTGTTGAACCTGCCACAATAATTTCATTTAACTCTTCACCAAATATTGTATTGGAAGTGTCAGGGAAGAGCTGTTTCT